AAGAGGAACATTTTTCGCTGGCAAGCTTGGTTTTCGCGTAAAAAAATAAAATCTTCAAATCGAGCAAAATCCCAAGGGTTTGGGCCGGATGAATTTTGCGACCAAAAATCCAAAACTCATTTTTTAATTTTTTCTATTTCCGGGCTTTTTCCATGATCAAAATAGAAGCTACGAAGTGTTTAATTACTTTACGAAAAAATCGCCCATTGCTCTAGAACAGAAAAACTGAAACTCCACCATGGGCTCTTATGGGGGCGCCGCCTTCAATCCTCCATAACTTCCCCAAATCCCCACCAAATATCCCCAGTTTTGCATACAGAGCTTCTGCATTATAGTTCAACAGATTCGTCCGAAATGGGGCGCAATTGGGGATTAGGGGGGAACACCTCTCATTTAAAGCCCATGCAAAATCCGCTGTGTAGTCTTGAGGCCTGAGGATGGACGATTTTCGAAATTTTGCAGGTAATTTTGAGCAAAATTGATTGATTTGGAGCGTCCATAGCCTGCCAAGAGAAAATTTGCCGGAAATTCGGGCGATTGAAAAATGGCCAGATTTTGGAAATTTTCTAGGAAAATTTGGCGGAAACCGAAAAATTGCCATTAGCGCGCTTATGATGCACTTAAGCGGAAAAGTGCATGCGAACTTTTTTAAGCACTTTTGCCCCCTCTATTCAGTGGCGTGCCCGGCCGTTGCCGGTTGCTTTCGGTTTCGGAGATTTCGGGGATTTTTTGCAAAACACGTTTTTGGCATTTGCTCCCAAACTGTTTGCTCGAATGTCACAAAAATACCCCCAGTCCGTGCCACTGGGCAGTGCCGAAGTTTTACCAAGAGCAACATTTTTTGCTAGCAAGCTTGGTTTTCTCGTTAAAAAATAAAATCGCCAAATCGAGCAAAATCCCAAGGGTTTGGCCGGATGGATTTCGCGACCAAAAATCCAAAACTAATTTTTTGAATTTTTTTCATTTCCGGGCTTTTCCCATGCTCAAAATAGACGCTATGACGTGTTTAATTGTTTAAAAAAAAAATCCCCCATTGCTCTAGAACAGAAAAACTGAAACTCCACCACGGGCTCTTATGGGGGCGCCGCCTTCAATCCTCCATAACTTCCCCAAATCCCCTCCGAATGTCCCCATTTTCACCCACAGGACTTCCAGGGGGTCTTGCAACAGACTTAGCCTAAATTGGGCGCCCTGGGGCTGGAAGCTGCTAAATAGCCCACTAAACCACCAACCCGGCCGGAAATCAAAAAACCTCCTTTAACTGGGTCATGGGGCCCTTTAGAGAAAAAGTGAATAGGAACTTTTTGGTGCACTTTTTCCGCCTCTGTCCAGTGGCGTGCTCGCAGCTGACGCCGACATCGACAAATGCGGGCAAACAACATTTTTGTCGTTATCCGGTGAGCCAATCAAGTGGGCGTTGTGGCAAAAACCGCAGGCGATACCGGCGGACATTCGGCATGTTTCACCAAGAGCAACATTTTTCGCTCAGAAGCTTGCTTTGACAGGAAAAAACAAACTGCCGGTTCAAACCGATAGAGCGCCTGATGATGGCCCTGGAATCGAAACGCCCGCCACCCTGACAGAGGGATCAAGAGAGCGGGCACCTGAATCCGGTCCACATCCGAAGCGCCTGGCAAGACAAGTGAAATAAAGGCATTAAATGGAAGCGCTGATGTTGATGGGCTCTAACGAGTGAGGGTTGACAAGTAATAAGAAGACTATCAGACAATGAGTGGCAGGGGACGTGGGGGGGCACGGATCAGGGTGACGTTTGAGTGACAGCCGCTCATTGTCGGGGCCCACATTTGACTGACAGGTCCCGGGCGTTGTTGCCAGGTCAAGAGCTAAGCGAAAGCGGCAGGAAAAATCGTCTGGGCTTCGCCGCCCTCGATGATAAAAAGGGCGACCGTCACACTGTTTGTCCACAGCTAATAAGCGGGCAATAACAATTATGGCGGCGGCGATGCCGCATCGGTTTGATCTTGGCCAATGTGTGGTTTTCGATAAGGCGGCTGTTTTACCGAAAAAACACCATAAAACACAGTTTGCAGGATAAACATGGGGAGCTTCGCCCCCCCCACTCTCTTTAGCCGGGCATCTAGGCCAGTGGCGGCAGCGGATGGAAATAGCCGACGCTTTGACAGAGTGAATGATGGCAGCGAGCGCATTTAGCAGGAGAAGAGGAGCGAGTAGGCGCATGTGGCCCGAAAACACGACATAACAATGACCGGCCAGGACAACAAATCGTCGCCGATTACTCTCGATCAGTCCTAATGGAAAATGCTGGTTCAGCAGGAAATCCCCGCTTAATTGGCTTTCATAATTCCGAAAAAGAAAAACGACTGTCGCCAGTTGATCGACTGCTGCACAGGTGCGGACCGCTCAGCTGTTGCGTGCAATTGGAGAGCTGGGCAGTGGCGCAGCCGACTACCGGCCGGAGTGCCGCGCCATTATTTCACCCGTATCTCCCGAAGTAGGGGCTGCAGGAGAAATCCGAGCACACCCCCGGCTAGGGGGTGGAAACCCCCACAAAAAATGCCCCTAGCAAGTTGTCGCCAAACCCAACGCTAAGCGAGCCACTGGCGATTCGGACCGGGACATTCCGAACGCGCGCCCCATTAAGTCACGTCTCAATTGCCCGTTAAGTATGCACGCCAATTAAAAAAAACCCCGCCATTTATCGCTAGAGGTCAGCACCTAATCGGGCCTACTTGATATGCCGAAGCCTTGGCTTGAGTCGGACGTGCGCCGCCACTGTCCCCACACGGATTGATGGACGACGCGCACGACAAATTAACGCCGTCTAGACTGTCATGTGAACGTGACAAGTATGACAGTTGTGCATGTCGTGAGCGAGGCCGTTAATGAACCCACCGCCAACTTGATTCCGATCGCGCGTCCAACTCAGGGCCGCCTCTGTTTCCGATTCTTCGTGTAAACGCTCCCAAACATGAACAATTTGTTGATACGATCGTCGCCTGTTTGAAGAATCTGCAGCAGCAGCAGCAGCAGCAGCAGCAACCGGGCCTTATCTGGTGGCGTTGTGTCTTTTTTCCCTGCTTCAGTAGCCAGCAGAGGTTTTCTGCTTCATCTTCATCTTCATCTGGTTCGCATCGGTCGGATCCCCCCCGTCTCCCGCCGCCTCCATTTCATCGATCTCCCAGTCACGAGAGGGCGTTCACGTTGCAACAATGCACAATACCAACATAAATCAATGTAATTAGGGACTTAAGTGCAGGCTGCGTCCGCGCCGCGGCCATTCATTGGTCAGATCTAGGCAGGATTGCGGTTGGCTCCGCCCTGCCGTGTTGCCGCATTGGTGTTGCGCGCGGCTACATGCCTAGAAGCGGCTAATTCTAGCCCCCTTGGAATACAATGTTGCCAGTATCTAATTTTATGTCAGGTGTCAAGTGTCACATCTTAAAAAGGTGACGTTAGAACTGTTAACGTCACGTTTTGACTTGAATGTGTCGAAGTAGTATCACTGTTCTGTCGTAATAATGTTTGCAGTATTTGTCAAAAAAAGCTTTTTAACACGGGGAAAAATCTGAATAAACATTATCGTACAAATCATGGTACCCCAGTGAATAAACTAAAATTGTGTTTGATTTTTTATATAATTGTTATTTATACATACATTTATACATCCTCAAAATGGCGAAAAATATTAGCTTTTGTTGTTTGTCTTTAAAACGGTTAAACATTGGGAACTTAAATTTTGGTACACATTATAAGATAATAATAATAATAATATAAGGCTGACTTTCCCTATCCCATGCGCTTTTCCGGCATTTGGGAGCTGATGAAAAGTTGCTCCTGATGAACCATTTGGACTCTTCTGGGGCATGCAGTGACGATTTTTTCGAAAGCGTCCGATAAATAAGCGCTCGGTACAAAGGCGGGTGGCACCTTTGAAGGCAGCGCCGCCCTGCAATGTTTGCCTCGCTTACATCAACAGAGAAAAGCCAAATGTTTGCCTAATTCCGGCTAATAAACCACTTGATTACGGCCGGGAATCGCCTATAAAATGCGTCTTTCGCCAGCCCATTGTCGCAGTGTTAATCTAGTGCTCTTCGCCCAAAGTGCCACGCTCCAACCCTTCCGCCCTGCTGCTTTCCGGCTCGCCATTGGTCCAATTATCAGGTACTGAGTTCGACTAACTAATATTACCTACTAATAATCATCGTCGTTCAGTGCCGATGCGAAGAAATGCCATCAACAACTGTCTTTCGGCGTTCAGAGCGATCTTGATGGATATTTTACGGGCGACAGCTGGAAGATGGTCGCTTGGTTAAGTGGCGAATTATGCATCAAAGTTGGCGTCGTTGTTCTGGTTTTTTGATTTGTTTTCCGGTAAATTAGCGCGACGATGATAGGGTCGGCTGGGGTTTTTCTCCATATCTCCGCAAATGGATCCGGTGGAGGAGTTCTGGGCACCCCCCCTGGAAAGAGGGGGCTCCCACGCGTAAAAAAGTTCCTATTCACTCTTTGGCCCAAGCGCCTAATTAGGGAGCTACGGGTGGTTGTTCTAGTAGCCGCGCTTTATATGACGTCAAAGGGCTAGATGCGTCAGGATACCTTTGCTCAATTCGGGGTGTGGAAATGGGAAGATTCTGCAGGACTTTTTTAAGGTTCAGTGGGGGATTATGGGTTTCCCCCCTTGCCCCCCTTGGGCGGCAAAGTTTTTCAATGGCCGCCCGCCCAAACTAGGCGTGCCAGCGAAAAAGCCGCCCTTGATCAAAAGTGGGCGCTGTCGCCCGCCAGCCATTGCCGCTAAGGCCCAAAAAAGGTGGCAAAATCCCCAACAAAACTGAAAATATCGCAAACGAAAAACCGCAGCCCGCTCGCATCGGGGGGAACATTCGGCGCAAAATCCCCCCCGATCGAGTTTTCCGCTCAAACGAACAGGAAGCGAGCTGGGCGGCCAAAGCAAAGTAATGGGGCAACGTTTCGCTTGCACCTGCCAGATGCCCCAGGCCTGACCTGATTTTTGCTTGCAGGGGAAGGAGGCGAGGAGGGCTCACCGGAGGAGGGGGATGACAAGGCCGAGGGCGAGGAGGAGGCGGGGTCGATGACGCCCACCAATTCCGCTTCGCCCGCCCCTGTTGAGGGCTCGCCGCCGCTGGACGCCCTTTCGCCCGGCAGCCTCAACGACGACCCGACCTTGAATCGGTAGGTTCTCCCACTTGGTTCCGACCCCCAGCTCATTGACTAATTGGGGCTCAATTTGCAGAGAGCCGTCAAGGTGCAACTCGCACGAGTCGGGCGACATGCTGTTCCCGGGGGGCGTCGCGCTGCCGCCCTCCATGCCGGCGCTGTTGCCGTCCCAGATGGCCGCCTACTTGAACGCGGCCGCCCACGCCGTGCAGTCGCACCGCCTCATGATGACCTCCCCCCTGCCCAGCGGCTTCGGCAGGGCGGCCGTGTCGCCCCTCATCAGCTCCACCTCCAGTCCGCCCAGTTGCGAGCTCTCCCCCAACACCGAGGGCATCCTGGACTTCAGCCGCAAGCGGCCCGAAGGGGCGGCGGCCAGCGGCGCCCCCCTGGACCTGTCGGTGGGCAGTCGCAAGAGGGCGGCCGAGGAGCTGCTGCCGCAGCCGCCCCAGCGCAAGGCCAAACCCAGCGTGCCCGCCTGGCCCTCCTACTTCATGGCGGGGCTGTCGCCCAAAAGCCCCGCCCCCGACCTGTGGAACGGCAAGGCCAAGGCGGCCGCCCCCAGCGAGGCGGCCAAGGCCCTGGAGAAGATGAGCGAGCTGAGCAAGATCGGGGGCGACGATCTGTTCCGGATGGCCAGCGGCGTGCCGCCCAGCCCCTCCAGCAACCGGAACAGCGCGTGGCAGAGCCACTGGCTGAGCAAGGGGGCCGAGCAGGCCAAGGACGTGCTCAAGTGCGTCTGGTGCAAACAGAGCTTCGCCAGTCTGGCCGCCCTCACCACTCACATGAAGGAGGCGAAGCATTGCGGCGTGAACATTCCGCAGACGCAGGCCCCGCCCCC